GACTGATGAACGAGAACTGAGCAACAAACTGTTAAGGCAGTAATGGTCGAAGATCTGTTTGACTTCCACCGTGGATTTGTACTTTCTTGAAAAAAAAAAGGGGGAAAATCATATATGGCCCCCCCCCACATGAGGAAGAGGATTGATTTACCCAAGAGGAGTCAATGGGAGAGGGTAAAAGTTCAACAGGGCACAGAATCAAACAAGACACAATAGCAAATTCAGAGACAGCGAGCAGGCACAAACACCTTACGAGGAAGAGACGAGGTCGCTTTATCAATGCCTCAATGTTGCTGCTTGCACGAAGCCCAAGTAAAAATTAACAAAGAGATGAGCAAAAAATAGTTGATAGAAACAGAGAGACTATGATCTGATTGAAATCTGGAGGAAAATGAGTTTGAGTTTTAAAAGACCGATCACAGGAGGAAGCCGAGCCGATGCAGGGTTTCCTGTCAGCATCCGGCGACTGTCGAAGCGTCTTCGTTACTCTGACAGCAGCTGCTGCAAGAGGCTTTTCCCTTCACTCCCTCGAATCAGCTCTGTATCCATCTGCAAGAGACAAAGGCAGACTTCACATGAAGCTGAATGCTAAGTTCAGCTTGGATTTACATTTCCTCAAAAAGGAGCCAAATAAAAAACTGATAGCAGGTAGGCAAGAGATGGACAAAACACAGAGAGGGTAAGCAAAGACTGGACTGAAGATTGGGCAAAGAACCTTACCCTAGGTGATGGCTGAGGCTGAGCCTGGCTTGCAGTCTGAGGGAGAGGGGGAGGATCAGAAATAGATGTGGGAACTCCTGTACCCCATGATGAAGTGGACCCTGAGTCACCTGTGCTCCCTTTGAAACCCACCATAGGACAGGGAAGAGAAAGAATGAAAAGAAAGTAAGGAAAGGCTTCACCACTGGACAGCCTCCACAAGAAAAACTATTTCTTTGTCTTTTGAGTGCAGAGAGGGTGATTTTTATGATGAAATAGGAAAAACTCATACTTCACACTAATACAACTTTGATTTAATCTCACACAGATGACAAGACAAGAAATGGGTGAAAACAAGAGAGGAGAAATTGCCAAGGAATCCCATTCCCTTGATGCCCAAGTTAACATGCCTTCATAAAAGGTTGACAAAGATAATAATACAAAAAACTGCAAGAATCTTTACAGGGAGCTTGCTTTCCCTGACACCTGAAGTTTCATGATAGTTGGCCAGAAGAGGAATATAGGGAAGCATGACCATGGTTTTGCATGGAAGAGGTGAATATGAGTATCTGTATAGAGGTGAAGATTGATGCACCAGGATCTACACAAAATGACACTGAAGATGGTCCTAACTGGACTCACCACTGGCAGAATTCAGTTCCAAGATCCGTTCCAGCTCCAGTGCATTGAAGGCAGGACTGTGAGTGGGAGGAAGAGAGGTAGGTGGAGGTGGAGGTGGTGGTTGAGGTGCTGAAGGAGGTGGAGGTGGGGGGGGTCCTTCAACAGAAGGGGGTCCATTCAATGAAGGATGCTGACTGGTAGGTGTTGTTGGTGTTGACATTGTTCCTGTTCCTCCACGTGACTGGCTGTTTCCTGTCCTTGCACCAACTATCGCTCTTAGCTCTTGCCGGATGTATTCAGAGGAGATGCTGCTTGCTGTACTTACAACCCCTCCTGCTGACACACCATCAAAGCCAAAAAGAAGATAAAAAATCTCCATCATATGAATGTCAAAGAAACTATCAATTATGAGGTGCACCAAAGATATAGTGATCACAGCAGCACACCTTACATCTTTCTCCTCCAAGAAAGAATAAGGAGGGAAGCTGCAGTGATCACTAGCATTTCTGCAGCAATAACAGAGCCAGAAATTCTTCATTAGAGTAAATGGCAGATGCATTTAGAAAAGAGTTGGGGGGACTTCAGGTCCTGTAGTTACACCAGTCTTTTGTTAGCAGCAAAACCATTTTTTTTTTAAACTAAAGGCCAAGTTGGTGGTGCATGGAGAACAGAGCTCCAAATGAAGTAGATTAAGGTCATGAAAAAAAAGCATGTGCCTTGGGAAAAACATCAGATAAGACAAGTTGATGTATTAGTTTAATGAATTTTAACAAGAGAGTGAGTTTCCATAATTAAAATGTGGCAATGATCGTGAACTGGTGTCAGTGACAGGGAATGAGCAACTGTTCTGGTGCCATACCATTAATCATGGGAGCATGGAGTTCCTCATATGAACTTCCTTGGTGATCGTAGGAGAACACACTGCCCTCTGTGAGGTGCGGACTGAACATGGGAGTAGGTGGTGTAGTGGGAGCAGAGGCCGGCGCTGCTGGCGCTCCGTGGGGGTGTGGGAAAAACATGGGAACCGGGGCCATGGGGTACATACCTAGATGTATTTTTGGAGCAGGCAGGATCTCCTCTGAATACATCCGGCAAGAGCTAAGAGCGATAGTTGGTGCAAGGACAGGAAACAGCCAGTCACGTGGAGGAACA